TTTTTTAATATTATTATATTTAATGATCATGATCTTATCGTATTTGCTAATTATAATTATCAATAATATTCCCAATATTTTCACAATTGATGCACCCATGTGTATTATCGGTAGCAGATGACCTGTACAAATCAGGACATGACAGAGTTTCTACGAGTTTGCAAACTTGGTGTCACGGTCTTTATAACTGAAATCTCTATACCTCTCTATAAGTATACAGCGATCTTTGTGCAAAATTTGCAAGTACAAATTTATGTACGAATTTTTTTGCTCAATAAAATGTCAAACATCAATAATATCAATAATATTATTGATATTATTGATGTTTGATGTTATCATAGATTATGATAGATTATAATCTATGAATAACAATGATTATTGTTATAATTAATCTGATTAATAAAAGGAAGTGAACGCCACTGCCGATATAATTTACACTAATGTTTTTTTTAAGGTTAAGTGCCTATGCTCGGTGTATCCTACACTGATAATTTTTGAAGGTTAAGAGCTAATGTCTGGTATACATCCGCCCAGCATACCCTACAGTGATGTTTTTTTAAGGTTAAGTGCCACTGTTTCTGGTATTCCCTGTCCATTACGGTGTTTATTTTCATATTTCATTTTTTTCCTCGAGATTCGGTCCTCTTAAATTTTCTTAAACATTATATAATGATGTTGTTTCCATGACAGCAGGTGTTGAAACTGTGAAAATACACGTTTTTTTTCAATTTTGCATGTGAAATACTTACTCTGGGACTACTTACTTCAATATTGCATTTCAACAACACCTCTAGGGTACTGAATTGGAGATTGATAGTTCTGTGGTTCAGGTCAAAATTACGATCCGTGGATGAATGAATGGATGCATGAATGTTTCCGCCCTTTAAAATGGGCTGCAATGTGTGTGTGTGTGTGGCTGAAGACGTATTCTCGGTAATAAATGGAGCCACTGAAAAACAAGAAACCAACAGTCTAAATTTTTAATTGGTTTCACCAAGAAGGCTTACTGGTATTTGGCAAGTGGCACTAGAAACAACAACAACTACCTAATATGGAGAAATGATAACGCTGTGCCAATCGGTGTACCATTCGGCGTACAGGAGGTATTACCGTTCAATTTGAAACAATGGTTTTCAGCAATGGATCTACATATTTTTGATCTAGCACGTGAACTAAGTGACGCGGGAAAGTAACAAATGATTACAAACCATCTAATGAAAATTTGAAAATTGTCGAAAATATCTAGATCCAAATCGGTGATCCCGTTTTGGAGTCATTAGCAAACCTTCGATTTTATATATATATGTACATTTTAAAATATTTTGGAATATAGTTGCCACTATTTTTGGTATTGAATTAATCTAAATAAGTTTAAAGAACAGAATTGCAGTTATCGTGCGAAAATTTATAAAAGACTGTCAAAATAATAGTTGATTGAAGGGTTATTGCAATCAGGTCATAAATTTATTATAATATGCGCAGAAGAATGAGCTGCGAATAAACAAACAAACAAGTTTAAAGAACAGAATTGCAGTTATCGTGCGAAAATTTATAAAAAGATTGTCAAAATAATAGTTGATTGAAGGGTTATTGCAATCTGGTCATAAATTTATTATAATATGCGCAGAAGAATGTGCTGCCAATAAACAAACAAACAAGTTTGAAGAACGGAATTGCAGTTATCGTGCGAAAATTTATAAACTGAGTGTCAAAATAATAGTTGATTGAAGGGTTATTGCAATCAGGTCGTAAATTTATTATAATATGCGCAGAAGAATGTGCTGCTTTTAAACAAGCAAGCAAAAATTAAATAAATAAATAAAACTATAACAGTGAGAAAGTAAATAAAATATGTGATTAAAAATATTGCAAAAATTTTACCTCAACACCAAATAAAAAAAAATTCAATGCACAACAAAATTTTTTACGGTGTAGAGATAAATATAGATATTTTTTTTTTGTTAAAAAAAAGAAAACTAAGTAAAGAAATAATTAAAAGATCAAAATTATACATAAAAAGTATTTTATATGTTTAAATACAATGTTAGATTCTTTTAAACATATAAGTTTAAATTATTTTACAAAATTACTTATACCAACTTAAGAGCATTTCCAAAATTTATAATAAGAATATAGTACTATATTGTTTTAATGTAATTAGGTATTTTCTATTACTTTTGTTTTTAACTAGGAGGATCCACCTCAGCTCGCTTTGCTCACCATCTCCCGTTGTTATTTCTCATTCACCATTGAAAATCAAGTAAAACAAACAGTTATGTCATTTTTTACGAAAAAATCCGACTTAATTGGCATTTGTTGCCTTTTGAGGATGACAAAATTTTGACAACTCAATAGCAGGAAAAATCGGTACCCAACCCCTGAGAGGTTAGTGAACATGGATCGTGCTGTGGAAAACAGTGTATTGTAAAAAGCACCCAAAACAGTGGCATGAATGGCTATTGCGATTTTTTAATGTAGAGACATTTATGATATCGATAAACGAGATTTATAAATTAAACGTAAAATTTGGAGAAAAATGTTTTAAAAGTTTGAATTTATTATTGAATACTTATTTCTTTTCTCAAATTGTGTATAACGCTTTTATCTTCGTTTATTTTTTCAATTATCATTTTTCGTGATTTCGGAATTATAGATTTTGCAGAAATGCAAAAGGAAAACAATATGCAGAAGTTACAAGTAACCATAACTTTAAACGTTTCAAAGGAAACCTGACATACATGTTTCGATTTCCTGAACACACAGGTCAAAAAATATTGAGTTAGTGAGAAATGTCACTCTACGCGTATTCTGAGAACGAGTCGTGAAACAGTATAAATAATGCTTTTTTTGGTCACGATTCAGGCAAATGAAAACAGGAAGGGAAAAATTCAATTCCTTTTCACATTATTATTATTATTCATTATTACAGAAAGTGCATTATTTCATTAAAAGAATCATTCAAGAGAAAACTGTTTTTTTAGGATTCTAAAATTATTCTTAGTTTTTTTTAAGTGTTTTTTATGTTGCTTTTTACAATGTCGGAAAGTATTTAAATACATCGCAAATATTTTTGTACAGAGAAATTATTTTCGCACTTTCAGAATAGGTTACAATTCATGTTCTTTCCAAACACTAAATTCAAATATGAAAAACGAATTGCATTTCTATCAACAATGCAAACTGTTCTGACCAGATCATATCAATAAGTTCGATTTTCACTGTCAGTTTACCCTAATATCTCCTCATAAATATTACTTATCATTATTTTTTTAACTCTGCCCTCTTTTTCATCAATACTCAGCTTTTCTATCTATCATGCCATACTTCCTGTTATTTAAGACCTCTCTGAATGTATCTACGATGTCTGATTTGGTAATCCTTTGAATTTCGGAATGATACCTTCGGGCTTTCTGCACACAATTCACTTTAATGAACAGTATTTCATTTGATTCTCACCAAATAGTGATCGAAACCATAATCCACACCTCTAAATCTTCGGATATCCATGTCTATTATTGATCAATGATCATAACTAGACCTATTTGGCTCCCTGTTATTCCATCTGCAGACCATTCAGTGGATGAGTGATATTTGAGTTGTGTAAAAGGTAACCAGTTCAAACCCTGGTGTTCGTAAAAAATCAAAGGGGAGAGGGTTAGAAGAGGTTAAAGAGAACCTGAAAAAGAGATAAAAACTAAGAATGAAATATCTAGAGTCCTGAACAGCTAAAAATAGAGGGCTAGCTTTACGCAGCTTAGAGTCCCCAAAAAATTATTAGTGCCAATAAGTAGTAATGGTAAGGGGTCAGAACAAGTGATTTATAAAGCTCTGCCTTAAAAGATGATTAAGTCTTAAAGGTGGATCGTGAAGTAATGGAAGACCTGTAAAAAAGTCCAGTAAACTATGAACTGGAAATCTTGAAAACAAACTAGTGGAATTTGGAGGGCTAATATCTTGAAGCAGACTTGAGTTCTCAAATAATTATTAGTACCAATGAATATCAATAATATGAATTGCATTCAGAACAAGTAGTTTATGAAGCTCTGCTGAAATAGATGATTAAGACTTAAAGATAGATCGGTAAGTAACTTGAAAAACGAAGATAAAAACTAGGAAATGGAAATCTTGAGGAAATATCAATTGGAACTTCAAAACTGTTTTAAAGCACATGTCCTCAAAGAATTACTAGTACCAATGAGTAGTAATAGTACAAATTGTGGAAAAAAGAGTAATTAATGAAGCTGTGCCTTAAAAGATGCCAAGATTATCCATATGGATCCATGGTATGATGGATCCATTTATCCATCACACCCAAGATTATCCATATATATTTTTTAAAATAAATATATTATATTGTAAAATGTGTGTATTTTGTTTTTCTTTCTACAACAATAATTTAAATAGTTTATCACCAGGGAAACTTAAAATGGCAACCGAAATCTTTTTTTCTGCATTCCAATGAAATTTTGCTGTGAATTCAGTTTTTTTGATCTACTAAAAACAAACTTAAATACATCTAAATCAAAATGCATTTAAATTTGTTCAAATTATTACAGATGTTAAAAATGCTTTATTTTATGGATGTGAAATTTTTTAGTTCAATTTTAAGCAGTATGACATGTTATAAAGGCACAAAAGATTTATTTCCCGGGGGCTCTGCATGCTATTAAGACGGCCCTGCTTGATTACTCGAAATAGAATCACTTGCGTCACTTGCTGGTATCCCATTAAAAAAACGATACTCTTAGCAAACATTTGGAATTAAAATTACATAAAACAGGTCTTAAAAATACGATATGTATTTTTTATTAGTTGTTTTTTTTTGATGTGATGATCTATATCAAATAATGTATTGTATTTCCTTCTTAGAAAAAGAACATCACTCAATTCTAGCTTTTATAATGCAGTTTTTTTACTGAATAAACTCAATATTGTCATAGCAACGCGATGCTTGGTTTAACAACAAAAAAAGACCGCTTTAATTCAGCTTTGAAACAAGTAGTCCTTGTAAACGAGCTCGATTAACCTGTCATTTAAATCTAGGTTGATTTTTTCTCTTCATCTTTCAGCAGCGAAATTTGCAAATTTCTGGTCTTACTGCAATGATAGACTTTTATTTACCTCTTTTGTAATATTTAAAGTTTCATGGACCTGTAAAACAATACTATTGGCGTGATTCAGCTGTTAATTTGGCGATATTTTACAAAAACACATTCGTGCTTGACTCAGAGGAAATAGAATGAATAGAGAAAGAAGGTCGTTTACTCCCAGAATCGGATGAGTAACTTTATTTTACGAAAAGAGTTTTGCTTAAAAACTAATTACAAATCGATATTTCATCGGAGTTGGTTTAAAATTATTTACAAATTGATAATTCAATATGGAGATGCGACAATGTCGTAAAGGTGATATTGTGTGTCATACTATAAATTTCATAAAAATGAACTTTTGTAATTACTGTCGTCGAAAAACTTATGCACAAGCTTCAATGGACATAGCCCTTTTGGTGGTAAATGCAGCACATTTGACTAAAGTATTGAGAGGTAATCCGCATGATAATTTACGAATGATCAAAATCAGCCTCATATCAGTTTCTATAGTATTAGAAGTGAGTTTATTTGAACTATCTCATTTAATTTTTTAAAAATTTGTATTTACTTTGAGATTAAATAAAAAGAAAATATTAATATGAACTTAGCTATTATAACAGACTAAAATCAATATGCCTTGAATGTATTAGTTAGTTTATATTTCAATTTTTATTTTATTTTGTTTAAAAATGGGTTTAATTTTTTTTGTTTATTTAAAAATGAATTTTAAATATGAATTATATTACATGAAAATCTAATACTTTTATTAATTTCATTAGAGGTTAGTTTTTATTTGCAAAGTATTTTCATTTTATCTTATTATTTTTTTATAATTTCGTTAAAATTAATTCTCAGTAAATAATGATATTCATTAAATTTGTTACATTATAGTCTCTTTCGTATTTCCATGATCTTAGAAATCGATCTTTATGAACCTATCGGTTTATTATTGAATGAAAAATATGTCACATAAAATAAGAAATAATGATCATGAATTGTGATATATAATAGTAAAATATTTATGTGTTGATTTATTGGAAGATAATACTTCTGTACAAAATATTATATGCTCCCTTACAATTACATTAGAGGTTAGTTTTTATTTGCTAGTATTTTTATTTGTGATCTTTAAAATTTCGTTAAAATTAATTATCAGTAAATAATGATATTCATTAAATTTATAACATTATAATCACTTTTGTATTTCCATGATCTTAGAAATCAATCTATTTGTATCTATTGGTTCATTATTGAATGAAAAGATAATACATAAAATAAGAAATGATAATCATTAATTATGTTATATAATAGTAAAATATTTAATATGTTGATTTATTAGAAGATAATGTTTTTTTACTCCATATTTTAATTTAAATTCATTAGTAGTTAGGTAATGATATTTAATAGATTGATATTTAATTTGGTACTCATGCACTTTGGTACTTGGTCTGTGAGGTAGTTTCAATAGTTCCTACTTTAAGTACCTATTGTTTATTAATATTAAGTAACGGTTACCGCAACACCTATGATCCAATATAATATCCCAAGTAGTAAGTATACTCACTGTTATTAAACAGTAATAGTTAAATTTTTTATGGCTCTCCAAAATGTATACCTTTAACTAAATTTAAACAAAACGCATTGATTCATTTCCCCCTAAATATAAGCAAAATAATAACCCTACAATAATAACTGAAATGAAAACACAAATGTTATTTAAATTTTAATCAGAATTCGTTCTTGCCCTTATTCTTTTTCTTGTCTTTAATTCATTAGGTTCATCCTGTTTGTGCATCCTGTTTTCACGTCATATAAAGATGAAAGGAAGTAGTTAAGAATTTATAGTTGCTTTCATAATCCAATGAATATAAATTATTGCAATTTTCTTACATAATGAAATTTAAATTTTTTTATAGTACATAGGAGTAAGAAACATTCAAAATAGTAAATATTCCTTGTGATTCAAGACAAAAACAAATAATTTTCTTGTTAATACATAGGCACTCTATTCTAATAGGAAAGTAAATTCAAACTATACAGATAATACAATTATATTCAGATTTAAGATAGAAATTATTCTCTAAATGCATTTTGCCTCCATTTTCAAACTTCATCTCTCTTTTTCAATATAATTTAATCCAAAGTCAGCCTTTTAAATTTATAGTGAAACTTTGGTGCTACTTGGGTGTTAATACAAATCCTTATGATGAAATAGATTTTAATATTTCTCATTACATTACATATTAGATTAAACAAAATTAACAAATGAGTAAACAATAATTGTTAGTTTATCTTTTTGTCAAGTAATTTGTCTAACTAGTTACTATTTAACTAATTAAATGTGACTGATTCAATGATTTTATTGAATTGATATTTTTTCTGTTAATTTCTAGAAATTAAGTAAATTAAATATTTTATAGTTTTCTTAAGCTTAGCAATTTTTTTCTTTTTTTTAAATTACAATAATACATGTTTTTGTATAATATGACTGATATACGTTTTATAATTTTCTTTCATATTATTTTATAAAAATTAACTTTGTGGAACCTATTTTAAATAGAATCATAAGCAAAATAAAACTATTGCATAACAGAAAAAAATATATTTCTTGAAAAATTGTATTCATGACAAATAGTTCTTATCAATAGAAAGATGTCTCAGAATATTTCCCATGAAAAATATTCCACCCTATATTTACAGTACTTTATTTACATGTATCACCATATAATTTCCGCCCTATATTATAGTCATTTAATATTTTTTCTTGAAAATGAAACCAAGAAAGTGTACCCACAGTAGATCATTTAAGAAAAAACGAAGAAAAACTGTTTTCCAATTACAGTGATTAATTCTTATAACTCTTGATAGAAAACATAAAGACTAGTTTGACTGCAGGCTGATATTTTTTTTTTTAAAAACTGTAGTTTGTTATTTTCTTACTTTTTATTCCCCCCCCCCCGCTTTTCTTTTTCATTTGCCTATAATTTTTCTTTGCTTTATTCTTCATTTTGAACTTATCTAATGGATTCTGTTTACTTGTAGCTTAAGCGCAATAAATGAAACTTATTGTTTTTCTTAACTTTCTTAGTGTTTCCTTGTATTTATTTATATATATATATATATATAAATATAT